AGTGAGTCATTGAGATTCAACCGATTCATTCAAACAACTGATTCATTCAGAAACAAAGCATTTGACAGTGTTAATGGGTGAATCACTGAATCATTTATTCAACTGATTAGTTCAAAAAGCTGAATCATTCAATAAGTAAACGCCGTCCTTTGCTCGGAGACGCAAAACAGTGCTGTGATCTTTGTTTGGAACTATATTCGTTTGCAAAATTGAGCAAAAACAAGCAATATTAGGCTTATGTCTAAAATGTAAGTCACATTACTTTACTTAACTTGTATAAAATGATTATTAAATGTGTTACATGCTGATATCTGCAGAAAAACTGTACACTTTGTGTGAAATAGATTAAGTTAACTATATTAAATTATATAAATATAAAAAGCATACAGAAGCATTTTTGCCTTCTACAATTTAGAATGCCTGGAATTTTGAGTTTTAATAGATTAATAAATCAACGTGCATGCACTCTGTGTGTGATTTGGTGATAACGCTTACTTGATAATGTCCGATCGCACATCATTACAACAACACTTACCATATTATCATAGTGGAAAATGAGTCATCCGCGGTTGTGTGCGCACTTGTTTGCACATGAGCAAAGGTGTTTTTAGGAGTCTTAACTTGCAAGCGCCAGACCACTGATTCGTCAAACCTGCTTTCCTGCAGTCCGTGTTCTTCTGACTTCTGACTATGTTGTTGTAAGTAACGAATATGCTTCGGGGAAATGTATCGGAGTAAAAGTATACATTTTAATTAGGAAATGTAGTGGAGTAAAAGTAAAAGTTGGCTGAAATATAAAAACTCAAGTAGAGTACAGATACTCCCAAAATATACTTAAGTACTGTAACGAAGTATTATTGTTTCGTTACGACTTTGAGCTTTGCAGGTCTTTTTTATGCTCAATCAGCAACATTACAGATTAACTAAAGTTGAAAAAGTGAAAAAGCATAAAAGCATACCTTTAAAGTTTAAAACACATCTCACTCAATAAAAAGGCTAAACTTGTGTCTGCTTGAATCTGGTGCTCAGGTCCTTGAGGTACAATCTTGTGGGTAATTTCTTATTACATCTTATTTCATGTGTTTGAGAGAGTCTCTAACCTCCTGCCCCGGTGCGGGTGTAGAGGGGCAGACTGGTGGCCACTCTCTTCAGGATCTCCTGCTGAGTTTCTGGACGCTGTTCCTTCTCATACTGTTCTTTCTCAGATTTGGGTAGACAGAACTGACACACAATACAAAGCAATCAGTTCACTGTGTGACAAAGCAGCAGCATGTTCCATTTTAACAACAATAGTACGTAAAATGATACGTATAAAACACTCACTACATGGAAACAAATAAATATTGTGTGCATTTATTCATAATGCCTGGATTAACATGTTAATATGCACATCACCTGTGTGGCATGTTACCATGGGCTGAACGTACAAAACAAATAAAACTGTTTGTTTTATACCCGCTGTACCTCTTTGGAAGGGGTGCTTGGTCTTGTAAAGATGGTTTTCCAGTACGACCACACAAACATGATGAACGACACATGAAACACAGCCAGGTAGATAACTGCATGGAACAGAGAGTACAGTCATTAACAACAAGACTGCATGAGCCCGCAGAGAAAAGCCTGCCAGAAACAGTCTGAGTATAAATCAGTCACGTTTGTGATTGCTGATACAGTCTGACTGTGCTGGAAGGCCGAAGTCAGCACAAGCACGGACCAAATAAACCCATAATAGCCTGACAACTGTGCCAATGAGACTCTGTCCCTTTCTAAACATATATACAAATATCTTTAACTCTTGAAATAAATTATTTTCCTTTTTATTTAATTTATTATAATATATTGAACAGTTATTTGGTTTGTGAATTTAAGAAGATTTTTACAAGGGTCTTTTAAATAATTGATTCTGATTGGCCAGTTGGTCATTGGTCAAAACCGTTGTCCCAATTTATGTCTCCTGTATCATTCCATGCATTATTTTTATTATATAATAAAATAATTTAAACTCAAATCAATATTTTCTATGCATTTATTTATTTAAAATGTTTTAAATTTAAATTAATTTATTTAATGTGTACCTAGAATGCAATGTAAACTGTTATCGATAAAAGTGTCTGGCAAAATGCAAATGCATAAATGTGTGTATATATATATATATATATATATATATA